ATAATTTTTCTTTATAGGGAGGTGTCCCTAAAGATACTACTCTGTGTAAGAGTTAAACTTTTACTTCCTACACTCTTTTTGGCCACTATCAAGTTTTCGTTCTTTTCTTTGATTTTCTGAAATATACGTGCTAAGCTCGAAATCTTGCTTGTATGCGAGAATGGTTCATTAAGGCTATAGAATAAATAATAGATTGAGCTCTTTCGTACCTGCATGCTTTTGAAAAAATTGGTTACACGTATATAGTATAAATAATGGATTGAGCTCTTCCATATCTGCATGCTTGTGAACAAATTGGTTACAGCTCAAACATGTTTTTAATTTGTAGAAAAAAGTTACTCTAAAATTCAGTTTTTAATTTTTAATAAGTAAAACATGTTTTCTATCAATCTTTGGTTTTTTGGAAATGTTCTAGAGAGTACTTTCAATTTTCCACAGTTAAAACACCCTAACAAATTTGATGAAGGGAAAAGAAATATCTTATTAATCAATAGACACGAGAAAGGAAAGTCTTCTCGTAATAATTGAAGGCATCAAGCAATAAAGGGATAATTAAATATGTTGAATTTAAGCATATTAGTCTTCACCAAACTTAATTTAGAATCTGTTTAATTGGCCATTGCTTTCATGGCCATTATCCTCAATTTGCCTGTCTACATGTAATTCTCCACTTTCTGATTTGATCAACTGAAGTTCAGACTTCCATGTGGAAACAAGTTACTTTGGAGCTTGGGCATGTTTTTGATAGTGCAGTTATTATGTTTCGCTTGTTGCAATTTGCTAAACTTTGGCTTTGATGGTTCTGTTAATTCAGTGTAATCTTTTGCGAAGCTGTTGCTATATATGGGGTCATTGTGGCAATTATTCTACAAACAAAGTTAGAAAGTGTTCCAAAATCACAGATCTATGCACCTGAGTCCCTTAGAGCAGGCTATGCAATCTTTGCATCTGGGATCATTGTGGGATTTGCAAACCTTGTCTGCGGGTTTGTCTCTTCATCTTTTGCTTCCCTTTTTATTTGAATTTTCATAATGTTCATCTAGTTTTATCCTCTAGTCTTTTCTCTTGTATCATCCTTACATGCAATGGGTGAAATTTTTTTTCTTCCGGTGACAGGTTATGTGTAGGAATAATTGGCAGCAGTTGTGCATTGTCTGATGCCCAGAACTCAACACTTTTCGTGAAGATTCTTGTGATTGAGATCTTTGGTAGTGCACTGGGGTTGTTTGGAGTGATTGTAGGAATTATAATGTCAGCTCAAGCAACATGGCCTTCAAAAGGAGTGTAATTTGTTGTTCTGGTTGGAGCATGTGGAGTACAATATCCTTTATGTATTTTAAATGAACTTTCCCTGTTCTTTTCTCCTTTCTTATTGATAGGCATGTAAAAACCTGTTCGGAAGTATTATATTGCACCTTTCTAGTGCTAGTCTGTATTTTTTCCTGCGAGAAATAAGATTTATGGAGAAGTCTTCTTGTTTGAAGTTTGAGATATGGATGTCAAACAACCCATGGGAAATTATCCTCTCCCATTTGGTTGTGGAAATTCAACATTCGTGGATACCAACTCCTCGTGCGACATCTGCTGTGAACCCTCATCTTAGCCATTCGTTGTTGGAAGTCTGCTTTGTACTGATAAATATCAAATGATCATAAACACTCAAGAGTTGTATTGTTATAAACTGGAAGCATGGGTTTTACATTATAGGAGTGATTCTGAATAGACAATAGAGTTTGTGATTCTATGGTGTTGTCATTATGGACAAAGTGCTTTTATCTTTATTACCAGTCAAAGAAGCCTGATGTCAGTGAATTGACAAAGTAGCATTAGAAAAGAAAGGCATGTTCCTCTGCAGAAGCTGTTGACAATAATCGAGATCTGCTGTCTGCAGATCAAAGGGCTCTTGATCAGGAAGTGATAAGCCTTGTTTAATTCTACCTAGATGCCGGGAATGCAGGACTTGTTTTGAAGTGACTGGCAATCGAATAGACTGATACTCTTCTAGAGCCAAGGCCAAGTTTTGGGGTCCCCATTTGTGAAGGCATTTGCCCAGAACAGCAGCATCTAGAATTGACATGTTTGTGCTTCTGACTCCGTGAGGAGTTGTGGGGTGAGCAGCGTCCCCAACTAACACCACATTGTCCCAGAATATCCTTTGCAGAGGATCACAGTCGTATATAACATTGATGAAAGGATCTCTTGTTTCCTTGATGAGTTTTGAGAATTCTGGAGCCCAAATCTTGTCTGCTTCTTGGTGCATCTTGTTGATCATATCATTACTCACTTTCATTGTCACTGAAGTTCCCTGGAAGCATAAGGCGAAATAATGAGGTAAGGGGAAGGAGTTGATTTGTGAAATAGACATGGAAAAATCCAATACCTTAAGTTGAGGCTCAGGTTGATTGATGTACCAAATCCAATTGAGTTTTTTGTTAGGAATCTCATAAAGTACACTGTGGGTTTTAAACCCCATGTCGAAGTATAAACATTTGCCCAGATCAGGATACCTTCTCCTGATGTCTTGAATAGTTTCCGAATCCTCATTCCCGGAGTAATAAAAAACACCTCTCCACGCACAATAACCCGAATACCTGCACAGCAAAACCAGCATAAGAAACAGAGAGAGTAAATGGATAAATAGACATATCAAACCTTAGTTTGAGGTGAGGAAGGAAAGCCAGACGGATGGAAGATAGGCATCCATCTGCCGCGACCAGTAAATTTGCTTCCATCTGGATGATTTCTTGAGTTTTACAAACTCTAAGGTTAACTTTGACAGAGAGTTTATCCGGGGAGAGGGTGAAAGAGAGGAAAAGATGACCCCAGAAGAAGATATGCGGTGGTAATGGGTTGTGTAGAAGAGAATGGAGATGGGGCCAATATGCTGCTCTGAAATTGAAGTCCTCGTCTCTTGCAAGTGTCCGTGTAGCCTTGTTTTGGGGATGTGTTGCTTGGTTCTGTGGAGAAGAAAGTGGTTTAGTTAGTAAAACTGAGAAAGAGAAGGAGAAGGTGGTGGGAAATGGTAGGGTAGTGTACCTGATCAAAAGAGAGTGGGGAGGTGGCTTGATGGAGGAGGTGAGGGTGATGGAGCCATGAAGAGATGAAGAGTTGAGACTGGGGGTCAAGGGCTAGGCCGGCGCCGGTTGGGCTGCCGCTTGGGGGTGAGCTAGATTTCTCAATCACCGCAACCTCCCAGCCTGCTAAGATGAGGGTATGCGCACATGATAAACCTGCTATGCTTCCTCCCACTATGATTGCTTTAGGCTTCATCTCTCTCACCCCTTCCTTTTTCCTTCTACTTTTTTGCTAAAAGAAGGTTGGAATGGGAGGAAGCCAGTTTCCAAAAATCATTGAGGTGTCCACTTGAGATTTATTTAAAGACATTTTAATTCAATTTTCCCAATTAAAAGCAAATATTGTGGGCCTGTTAACTTTTTGTTCCTCATCTACTATCAAGAGAGTAAAGAAGAAAAATCATGAATTGTACTTAAATACCCAGAAACTTATGTGTAGTGTTTTCATTAATAAACTATTTAACTAACGAAAAAATAACAAGATTAAAATTAAATATTATATGAAATTCTACGATCCCATATTTTCTATTATAAAATTCTTAGAATATTGGTTAAAACGACGTCGTACCTGAGGAGTTTGGTTGCTTTCCAAAACAAAAATGAAAAGCCCACTAGAAAATCCAAATCCGTTCCTCTCCCCCAAAGCTCCGTCTAATTCTCTCCTCCGCCTTCACTCAAACTCACCATTCAATTCAACCCTCCTTCCTTTCTCAATATCCGAGACTGATCGCAGCACCCAATGGGGGCTGGGCGCGAAGTGGTAATATCGCTCGATGGAGTGAGGGACAAGAACGTGATGCAGCTCAAGAAGCTCAACACTGCTCTCTTCCCTGTTCGCTACAACGACAAGTATTACGCCGATGCGCTTGCCTCCGGCGAATTCACCAAGCTCGGTTCGCTCCCTCCTTTAATTCTCCCTCATCATTTATTCCTCCTGCTTAATATGCCGGTCTCTTTGTCCTTTCACAACTTCTCTGCGTTTTTTTTTATCATCCACATTATCATTATCTTGATGCTTTGTGTTTACCGTGTCGTATATTGCTCGTGCTAGTGCTTTTGAAGAGGGGTTTTATTGTGTGCTTTCGCTTACAAGGACTAGAAAATGTGGTTTTCCCTGTCTGTTGTGCTTCCTGTTTTCTTTTGATCAGTTGTTGAAATAAAAGTAAACGCCCTGGAAGTGTTTGATGATATCAGTTCTTGTGAGAAAACTAAGATGGTAAGTTTAAAGAAACGCCGAGCTCTTTGCTTGTTTCGATTTCTTATGTCTTGATGTGATTATGCTTAATGAAAATTAGGTGAAGAAAAGGAATCTTGTCTACTCACTAACTCACCGTACCTTAAGGAAATCATGAGTTCCCATTATAAAATTCTCTGCAGTAGCTGT